GCAAAATGCATATGAAAGTTATATACTTTATTTTTATTCAATACAATAAATATTATAAACTGATTTCTATAAGTTAAAAAAACATTTAATGAAAAATTTTTAAAGATGGTAAATAAAACTATAAAATTTAAAATATTTTCTTTTCTTTTTTATTCTTATTTATAATTATTATATTTGATATATAGGTAAGTAAATATTTTCGTGAAAAATAATTTTTTTATTCACGATACAAAAGTTAATATTGACATATTTATGTATGTATGTATGATATTTATATGAATTTTAATATTGAGAATAAAAATATTTTATTTATTTATATTTATTATTTTTAGTGTGATTTAAACATAAATAAATAAAATTGAATCTTGTATAATCTAAATATATATATATTATATGTGCTATTTATAGGCATACTTTAGATCTATTGAAAATGTTACGCTTTCTGAGATACAAGAAGTTATTGATCAACAGAGAAAAGCAATCGAAAAAGAAATGGAAGGATATAAATATCCCAATGGAAAATATGGAGTTAATGTCAGGTGTGTTTCATAATTAAATTTTATAATTAAAATATTAATATAAGTATTTATTTGTAATTAATAATTCTTATAGTAAATTGGAAGATTTAATATTAGAAAAAGGAGGAAGACCTATGAGAAGTGTAATTTTGACAAGTTGGCGAAGTGGAAGTACGTTTCTTGGGGATGTAGTTAACGCACATCCAGCAAATTTTTATCATTATGAACCTCTACTTGATTTTGGAATTGTACAGATTAGGGGGCCACCACTCGCTGATGAAGCACTTAGTAATCTTGAAGCATTACTAAAATGTGATTTTAATAATCTTGGTTGGTACATTTTCTAACATATGAACTCAAATAAAATGCATTTTTTCATTTTTTTTTTTTTTTAATATTTTTTTTCTTCAGATCGATATTTAGATTATGGCAAAACACATCCTTGGGTCTTCAATCATAACACGCATTTATGGAAACAATGTCAAATTCACAAAAAAATTTGTTGGGATCCACGATTCGTTTCTAAATTTTGCAAATTATTTCCCTTTCAGTCGATGAAAATAGTTCGTTTACGATTGCGTGCTGCAGAAAAACTGTTACAACAAGAAGAGTAAGAATAATTTACTTTTCTTAATTAAATATTAAAATATAATTATCTCTCAAAAAAAATTATCTTTTTTTAGCTTAGGAATACGTTTAGTTCTATTAGTTCGTGACCCAAGAGGAATTTTGCAATCTAGAAAGCATCGAGAATGGTGTCCTACTAATCCTGATTGCTCAGATCCTGCATTAGTATGTGCAGATATGGTTTCGGATTTTAGTACAGCTGTACAACTGATAGAAAAGTATCCACATACCTTCAGGTACATGCCTTTCTTTTATAATCAATTCCAAAAACATATGATATATTTTAAAAACAAATTTCATTAAAATAAAAATTTCGATTATTTAAATAATTTTAAAATAATTTATTTTTTTATTTAACAGGGTAGTACGTTACGAAGACTTATCTGTAGATCCCTACAGATATGTGAAGGAACTGTATAATTTCTATGGTTTAGATTTTCATATAAATGTAAAAAAATTTTTAGATACTCATACAAAAAATGACGTTGGCGGTGTTTCAAGCACTTTTCGAAATTCTAAAGTGGCGCCCTTTCATTGGCGGACAGATCTTGATTTTGAAGAAGTTGATGAAATACAAAGAGTGTGTGCAGCAGCTATGCAACTATGGGGATACGTTATGGCATCGAATTCTAGCCACCAAAAGGATTTTGATCCACTCACAGATTATCAATTGCAATTGTGATATGTGGCATAGTGTACGATAAATGTATAGTATCTGAATGTAACTGTGTAGAATGGTTATAATTATTAGCTTATCTGCACAGATATTGAGATTATCACAAGTGCCCTCATTCACATTGAAAAGGTGCTGATAGCTTGCTTAGACAAGCGCTTATGAATTCTTATGATCAATTCATTTTGCTGATCCATTTTGGATTGGTAAAAAAAGAAAAAAATAGTAAATTATTGAACTTCGTAAGACCAATGCTAAAATTCGTTCCTTAAAAAATTTATAAGAGGTGCATAAGTGCTCTTCGAGCTTGTTGCATAATGAATAAAATCGACCTCGAACTATAGTCCAAAGTTTTAGGATTAAGAGCAGTTTCTAAGACTTTGGTATGCAACAAGGAAACATCCATATCAATGCAAATAATAAATATAAATAATAATCTTTTTTAGAATTCAAGTTTAAATTAATATCGCGGTCTTAATATAATGAATATAATTGTAATTCATTAGAATTTTCCATTGAAAAAACCATAAGATATTAAGCATTTGCATAAATGTTATTTTTTACATGATATTGAAAGAAAATTGTATGTAATATATAATTATATTGTTTTATTATATAAATTTTTTAATTGTTTTAAAAATACATATACAGTACTTTTACTTGCAATATAAGACAACATAAAAATGATCAATATTGTAATGTTTTTAATTCACAATTAATATTTTTTTTTTTTATATATTAATTTTATTATTGTTTTTTAAAATGCATGTAAAATAGAAATTTTTAAATTTATAACATAAGTTTGTAAATAATTAGCATTAAATATTGGTATATCCATTTTTCTATATATTATCTCAAAAATATTTTTTTTTAAGAATAGTTTCCAAAAAACCGGCCTTAAAATAAAAAATTTCAAACATTTAAATGAAAAACAATTTTTATTCAGATCATTCTTAAAATATATCAATTATTTTATTACTTACATATTTTTTTACTCAATATATTATAACAGTTATTTGCATGAATTTTTAATAAACGTATATATTGTATTTTTTTTCGTATAATATTCCATTTAAGCAATAATTATTTGTTTATGAATTTATGAAAATAATTGCGTGTTAGTATTAATTAAATACAAAGTTCAATATTAACATGAAATTAATTTGTATAATAATTATATATGCAATTAAATTTACTTCTATGCTAAACAAAGTTTCCAATTTTACGATACTGATCATTGAATGTATTACCTACTTTTTTACTTTTATTTTTTACTATGATTTTATTAGTATGTAAGAAAATTTATAATAGTACTGGCATTATGTAATTTCATAATCATTGTTTTATTAATAAAACAATCTAGTCTAAATTACTTTTGTTTTATTTTATAAGATTATACAATTATACATTTTTTATTATTTAAATTTAATTCTTAAAAATAAATTTTTTCAAAATATAATTTATATGAATATTGAATATATTACAATTTTTACTTTTTTTTTTAATAGAAAAGCTTTTTTTTTATTTATTTAATACAGCTTTTTTTAAAACAAAAAATATAACGATTCATTGAGTTTTTTGTAGGTATTTTCACTTATTTTTTATTATTATTATCATTTTTACATATTGCAAGAAATAAAAACATATAATAAATAAAAAAAGCTCAATATATAATTATATGTATATTATTAACAAAATAAAATAATAAAATATTTACTTAATATATAGAAATAAAATTGAAATTCTTAAGTTATAAAATTATATACTTTAAATTAATCATATAGAACATGTTATACAATAATTTTAAAAATAAATTTGTATAGATTTCAAATAAAAAACAAATTTTTACTGGGATCACCTCTAATATTTTGTTCTGAAATAAAAATTAATATAAATTAGATTTTATATTAATAAATAATATAAAACTTGTGTACATTTTTAATTCAGTAAAAAATTTTATATCACTAAAGTTCATAGCGTATATTGAAAACATCATTATAATTATAATTTAACCCTTTGCTCTCCAACGGTGACTCTCCGATACCATTGGGATTGTTACGGCAACTTGAATGGACACAATATTTATTTATGTTTGATTTTTTAAGAATATCGCTTCATAAATAATAAATTCATAAATTTCCTAAGCTCTTTACATATAATCTTATTTTATGAGTAATTATCTTATAGTAATCTTATGAGGAACGCATTGAACGCACCAAATACGCGGATCTGAGTCTGGAGTTGCTGGTTCAATCGAGCGAAATAGGCCTGGAGTGCAAAGAGTTAATTTTAATAAATTTATTTAATAAATTTAATTTTTAATAAATTTATTTAATACCTGTTTCTCATAAACATTTTCTTCTTGTACTTCCAAAAGTATCTATGCATAAAAGAATAAAATTTTATTAATTACATTAATTTATGCTAATTACATAATTTGATTTAAAAATTTAAGATCAGTGAGGGCAAGTTGTAATCATATTATTATTCATATTAGCGTATATTATAATGTAACATCATAATTTTTATTAAAATGCTAATAAAAATTTGGATTTTTGTACACTTACTTACCATCAAATAATAATGATGTTATAATTCACGATTTTGGGAAACTAATAAAATAAATATATTATTAATTCTTTAAATTAATAAATAAATATTATCTAAATTTTATATTTTAATACAAAAGATATAATCAGAAAAATAAATGACATCAAATCTATTCAGTCATATGCTTGTCAAATTAATCATCATAAAATAATTATTGTAATTTAAATATGAAATTACTAATAATAAAAATTATTTACGTTTCAATTTATTTAAAAAACAGAAAGATTCATGGTTCCACATTAAAGTTATTATTTATAAACATATTTAATTTTTTCTGTAAGAAAATATAATTCAAATTAGTTACATAATATATTATTATATTATTAAATTTATCATAATATTAAAAATTATATCAGAAAAAATAAATCACCATGTTTCTATGTAAGACAGGGATAACTTTTTAAATTATTCATCATAAAAATATTTTAACATTTTTTTATATATTATAAAATAAAATTCTTAAAATTACCTGTTTAAAATATTTTCCTTCATTTATATTATACATATATATATTACATCTTATATTTATATTACATCTTTTTTCATTCAATATTTATTCATTATTTTTTTTATATCAAAATTAAATTATTTAACCATTTTCTTTTTTTGTTTCTGAAAAAGAATATATATACATATCATTATGTATTTATATTATATATTATTAAAAATTATAAATTAAAAAATATAATTTATTCAGATTAACACTTTCTACATGATATTTCTGATTGACTGGGGAAGTTAATATATTCATCATATTTATAAATATATATAGAAAAAAAAAAATTTAATTTATAATGTATTTCACTCTAAATTAAAAATTTATAAAACAATAAAAACTTACCAGATTTATTAAATGATTTTACTGCAATAAACCTTATGATTTCCATTCTTTCCTATTAGAATATAAAATGAATAAATAGTTTACACATTGATCAATAAAATATATTTATATATGAAATTATTAGTTTTTATCAGAAAACTGAATCATTCAGATAATATTCAGACTGGGGCAGTAACATGACATCATGAAAAATACGAATGATTGAATTTTAGATTTGAAAAATAATAAATGCAATAAAAAAAATTTAAACAGAATATATTGGATGAAAATTAAAAAAACTAATACAAACTATAAATATAAATATAAACATAGTGAAATAATGGTAAAGAAACGATACTCACCATAAAAATTGAAATAAAATGTTGATCTGCAAGAGGCCACCCAAAGCACGTTTTTAACTTTAACGATTTAAGCTAATTCTAGAAAAAAAAAAATAAATCGAATTCCGAATAATTGATATAATTAAATAATAAAAATCAATAAAATTCGTTAATGCTTTCAGACTTGTATTTCTAAGTTGTAATCAAGAAATACATCATACGAACGAGACTATTTATGTATCATCACGTAAAACAAAAATTCAAAAAATATAATGGCAAATTAAAAAAAATATAATGATAAATGATCTAATATGAATATCAGTTGCATGAAAAAAGTTTTTTTTTTTAAATATTTTTAATGATGCATATGATAAATGTGGATTATATAAAATATAAAACGCTCTTACCTTACCACTATCTTTGTAGAAACCCAAAATGAAAATACAATTCTGGTTTGATGTATCTTATATAGAAGAAGATCTTGGTTTACTTATATTCAAGAATGATCTTTCATTATTCGTTACATCGAGCCTGTCCTCTATAGGAATTGCTCTAAACTAAAAAATGAATTTTTTAATTTATTTTGCTAGTTTATTTTTTTTAGAAAAAATATTAAATAAAATAAAAATCATAGTAATATTAAATCATTATAATATTGATATATATACTTTCTACTATTTAAAAAATAACTTTTTAATTAATTAAATTTTACTTTGAAACATAACAAAATTAAATATTTTTTTATAAATTTTAAGAAATAGAATATATATAATTGTCATAACTATCGGAATTCATTAATTAAAAAATTATGCATATAAATTTCAATTTTTAGAATATTTTATAATTTTAAAGTATTTTATAATTCTTGAATTATATTTTATAATTCTTTATATTTATTAAAATTTATAAAAAGATATTTAAAAAATCAAAAAATTTTTATTTTAGTGATTGAAAATGAAATATAATTTTAATCAATTAAAAATAAAAACATACCAAAAATTTCTCTTTCTCTCTCTCTCTTTCTCTCTTTCTCTCTGTTTTATGAATGTGAAATGAATAAGTACCTCATTTTATTATCTTATATGTTTATTAAATAAACAGAAAATTTATCATATATGATATGTATGATCATAAAAATATAATTTAAAAACTTTAAAATATTTGTAACTATACATAATATATTTAAAGTTTAAACCTACATGATGAAGTGAAAGAAATTGCGACGAAAGTTTTGTCCATCAATGTATCGATATATTACATATTAATTTATAATTTTAATTTTAAGAAATTTTCGAAATGAATGGACTATCAGAAGATGATTCTGATAGCAGTAATGAATATCTGATTGATCCAAATAAAATTAATTTAAATTCCAATTTCTTCGTAAAAAACAAATCAAATGTTGGGACAATTGTAAATAAAGATGATAATGAAAATGAAAGTACTGATAACGAGGAACTTGAGAATATCACTCATTTGGATAATATCGAACTATTCACTCAAGTTTTAAAAAATTTAGAAAATTCACAAAAACTTGAACTCAACAATAAAAATACCGAAAAAGAACAATCACATTTAAATTATCTCACAAAAAAAAATGAAGAAGAGATACAAAAAGTAAAAGAAATAAGAATCACATCATCAAATGAAATAAATGAACTTTTGCTTCAAGGTGAGAGTAGTATAAGTTTATCCTGTAAAAATACCACTGAAGACATAGCAAAAAATGAAGAAGACGCAGAATCTTCTAAAGAATATACTATTCCAAAAGATGGTGTTAAAATTACTTTGCCAAACACTAATTTAATAGTAAACAAAAGAAAGAAAGGTAAGCAAGATTTGAAAGCAATTTTGAGAAAACGATTAAAAGAAAATCAGATATTGATAGAGAAAGTAGGATTGCTCTGTTGGTTAGCTTATGGATTTTACTTGAATCATCAAATAAATTTACCTGAAATAATGACTGGTGTATTATCATTAATTTCTGAATCTAATTATCCAAAAAATAGAATTGATCTATCATACTTAGAAAAATTTACAAAATGGTTCAAACATATATTTATATTTGAATCTGTTGAAAGTAATGCTAATAAAAAAATTGATAAAGAAACTTTATTAAAAATAGTGAAGGAAAAGAAAATTTCTAATTACAAAGAACTAATATTATTATACATTGCTACATTGAGAGCTTTAGGTTTAAATTGCAGATTAGTTATTTCTCTTTGTCCTCCCCATCGAATTTTTAGTAATAGCCCATTATTTAAATCTGATGTAAAAAATGAAGAAATTAAATCAAAAAATATATCTAATAAAATCAAACAAGAAAATTCAAAGAAAAAGAAGGAAAAAAAGGAATCTTCTGAAAGAACAAATGTAGTTCAAAATAGTCCAGAAGCAAAAAAAAATAGAAATGCAGAATCTAAAAAAAGGGCAGCTGAGATTTTACATTCAAAATTGCAAAATAATAATAAAAAATTTAAATTTAATACTAATCAAGATTTCAAAATTGAAAATAAATTAATTCAAAAATTAAATGTTAATTCTAAAATCACAGAAAAGAAAGAATTAAAATCAATTGAAAATGAAAAAAATATATCCAATTTAAGACAATTAAGATCTCGCAAAATTCATATTAATTCTAAAGATAATGAAAAAGATAAAGAAATAAAATCTACAAATTTGATTTCAAAAATTGATGGCACAAAATCAAAATATTATATAAAAGAAAGTTCTACGGATTCTGAAACAGAATTTGAACCAAAAATAAAACGTATAACAAGAAAAAGTTTAAATAATACTAATAAGGAAGAAGCATCACAAAGTTCTTTGAATATTAAAAAAAATAATAGAAAATTAGTATCTTCTGACAGTGAAGATGAAGAAATAAATAATATAAGAAATAGACAAGATATTTGGGCTGAAATATATTTAGATTCAGAAGAAAGTTGGATTTGTGTAAATGTAATGGATGAAAAAATTCATTGCATAACTGAAATATATGTAAATAATTTATTAACTCATATACATATTTATAAATATATCATGATAATAATAATATTTTATTTTAGAAAAAAACAACAAAGCCTGTATTATATGTAGTCGCATGGAACTCTGAAAATTTAATAAAAGATGTATCTAGGCGTTATTGTCCACATTGGCTTACAGTCACATATAAACAACGAATTGATGAAAAATGGTGGCTTAAAACCTTATCTTATTGGAAAGAAAAGGATACTGCTATTTCTAAAGCTGAAGATGAAATGCTATTACAAAAGTATTCAAAATTAAATATTCTTATTTATTAGAAATATTATATTCTTTTATAATTTTTTTTTTATAATTTTTATCCTGAAAAATTTTATTTATATTGCAGAGAACTAGAACAACCATTGCCTAAAACAATTAGTGAATGCAAAGGCCATCCATTATATGTCATTCAAAAACATTTACTTAAATTTGAAGCATTATATCCTCCTGATTGTGTACCTTTAGGATATACTTCTACAGGTTGTGCCATTTACTCTCGTCATTGTGTACATACTCTTTATTCGAGAGAAACTTGGTATAGAAAAGGCAGAGTTGTAAAATTAGATCAAGAACCTTATAAAATAGTTACTGCTCGTCCAAAATATGATAAAGTAATAATTATTTTAATATTGTCTTATATAAATATTTATAAGTTTATAAAAAAATATTATTAAAAATAAAACATTTAAAATTATTTAATTATAGCTTTCAGGAACAAAAATTAAAAACTCACCATTAGAATTATTTGGTAAATGGCAAACTATGGAATATGAACCTCCAGTAGCTAAGGATGGTATTGTTCCTCGAAATGAATATGGAAATGTAGATTTATTTCAACCATCCATGCTTCCAAAAGGCACTGTTCACATAAATCGTAAGTTCTTAAAATTATATTATTAACAATAATAAAAGTTAAATACTTTGCCATAGTCATTGAATTCTTAAATTGACATTTATTCAAATCTAAATCATTATATTATGTTATGTAAAACTTTAGCATTTATTTTCTTGAAAACAAAATATTAGATATTCTTTTTTCAATTGTTTTTTGTTGTAGAATCATTCTTTTTCATAAAATATCTGAATTATAATATACTATTGATATATCTGAATATATTAATAGAACCATTAATTACAAACTAATGATAAAATAATTTATTTATGATTTTTAATATTTCTTATATAAAGATTAAAAATAAATAATATAGAAATTAAAATTATATATAATATATATAATATGTGTGTAATGTATATTATAATTTAGTTCCAGGCTTATATCGAATCGCTCGAAAACTTAATATCGATTGTGCACCTGCTGTAGTAGGTTTTAATTTTGGATCTATGGGTGCAACACCTGCAATGGAAGGTTACGTCGTTTGCATTGAATACGAAGATATATTGCGAGAAGCTTGGGAAGTTGAACAAGCTGAAGCAGTTAAACGAACCAAAGAAAAGAAAGACAAACGAATTTATGGAAATTGGAAAAGATTGATTCAAGGTTTGTTCATAAGAGAACGATTAGCAGCAAAATATGAATTTTCAAAAGAAAAAAAATTAATAACTAATAAACAGACAAAACAAAAAGAAAATAGGCATAAAGAAAATTAAATCTTGAATAGTAAAAAAATCATTTAAATGTTCTTTAATAAAAAAAAAATAAGAATAAATAGAATATTAAGAATAGTTATATAGTATATAGAAAAACATTAAAATAATATCTTACTGTGATATTTTCTACTTCATTAATTATTTCTATCAATTTTTTATCATTAACAATAAAGCATTATTATTACAAGCATTCATATTGTTTGGCATTATTTTAGCAATAAATCACTATAATAAAAAAAAATAAAATTTTTATTTATTATTTTTTATTTTATAATCAGAAAATTATTGTAAATTGAATTATTAAAAATTTTTTCAATGAAAATAATATTTAAACATGATATTAAACAAATGATATTAATGTGAATGAATTTAAATTATATAAATAGCACACAATGTATACCTATAAATGAATTACTAAAAAAAAAATTGAGATTTTCTTTATATTTTTTTTAATATTTTTTATAAATTCAGAAAATAAAATAAAAAAATAATTAAAAATGAAAAATTTATTATTTATAAAATACGATTATTAAATAAATTATTTATCATGTATTATTTAGATTAAGAATATATTGGATCTAAGAAATTTTTTAATGATATTATTA